ATTCGCGATGGGATTTTTTAAACTAAGCTTTTGAATGCTTCCATGATTGTATGTGGCATTAATTTTTGAACGACACTTCTCAGGGTTTTTCATTACAAATACTAGTATGATTTAAAATGACCTTGAGAAGAATATTTTTAGCAATTTTTCATATGCATTTCTAATAATATTTATCTTTGTCTTTATTCAAACGTAATCAGTATTTAGGTAGCCTTATTGCATAAAAGCTTATTACATCCAAGAAGCTCGTGTTTTATTAATGTTATAAAATTATGTCGATATTCATTTTTACAGCCACCTTTATTGTATTTCATTTACATAAGCGTAAGAATAAGAATCGACAGTCTCTGGTATTCCGGTAACTTCAGTGTAACCAATTGATTGGCTTTCCCCACTTAGTCCATCTGGGGTCTCTATATCTGTCTGAATCCGAGAACCAACAGGACTTGTTAGTTCATCCGCTCCAGGAATTGAAACCATTGTTGCTTGCATAGCAGAACTTGAAAAAGTGTTTGAGGATGGGTCTGCAAACGAATTGTTCCTACAAAAATCCATAATATTGAAAAACAAGAGATGTAAATTTGTAAAACAATCATGCACTCTCCCTTAAATTGTATTTTTTAAAGTCCAAGGGGCATAACTCTGTCCAAAATGGCGCGATCGTACAAAAACAGAGATTGACCTAGATATTTAATTGTTAAATCTTTATACTAAATTTCATTTCAGTTTGCGCAACAGTTGTGAAGAAAATGAAAGGAAACTAAGTGGACCGACATACAGACAGACCAACCGACAGACAACAGCAAAGCAATATGCCCTCCATTCTACGAAGGAGGAGATAAATATCATTTAAAAAATAAAAACGTTTATTGAAAGAAATACATTAACAAATATTATTAAAATTTATTCACTAGAATACTTTCATATGAAACACCCTTTAAAACTATTCTCCACAATGCTAGTAACTCAGAATCTGTCCAGACCCTCATTTTATAATGTATCTTCAAGTACAACTAATATTTAAATGTATTTACTAAATGCTAACCGTAAACACTTGCAAAATGTAGGATTTTAGCGATAAATTTTTGATTTTAAACCCCTTACAAAAACCTTGAGTTTGAGGATATTGGATTTTTCTCTGGAGAAAGAAATATTATAATAGTTATATTGTTACAATTGCAAAGTTAATCACTTATGAAGGTTGAATTAGAAAGAAAATATAACACAGGAGAAAATATCTAAGATTACCACACGTTCTCCTTCTATACAGGTATATATGTATTCATTATATATCCCTTATTTATTGATTTTGAACTCTCGATCTTTTTTGTACATGCCTTAATTTTTATCCCATATATCCTATAGCTGGAATTTTATGCAGGGTGCAAAATTTGCTTTATTTTTGCAGTTTGGAAGCAGTTCGCTAAAATTTTCATCGCTAAATTTGCACCCTTGCGTATAAGTTCTCAACAAAAAAAGTTAAATTTGAAAAGTATGTTGTTTAGCAATGTATCTGTGTTTGATGTATTAGTTTTAATCAATCCCCTGTGTGAATCGGTATCAGAGGTAGATTATATGTACAGAAAACGCTACAAAAACCCGCCCTAAAAATGACCTGAATGTTTTCTTTAAGATGAGTTTTCAGTACGTATAACTTACGCTGAGTGCTGAGTAAAGGTCAAAATTTGAAGCCCTTTCCTAGTTTATGGTGACATCTCTATATGTCTTAAAATTACAACTTCATTAAAAAAAACTGTGTGTCCGCCAAAAATGTTCCGCCAGCATTATTAGCACTCCGATCCTTTTAACGGGCATGGACACAATTTCAGCTTACAGTTTTCATTTTTCCCCAATTTTCATTTTTACAAAAACTTAACTAATGTATTTTTAATGACCAACATTTATGTATTTAGATGCAAGGCAGAACTCCCAACCTTCTTTATGTAAGCATGTGATATGTTTATCTTACATAAGATATGTTCGTTTAAAACAGATCATTTAAAGTTTTTTTTAAATTCCAAATATAGTTAGATAGTTTATAGTGATTTGCTTATTCTTGTTTTGTTATAAGCATGATGTTTTCAAAATGTAAGCAAAACAAATGTATTAGCCCTGTTTACATTATGAAGAATTTGAAATTCTGTATTTCCTTTGTAAATCAGCAATTGATGTTCAACTGTTTGGTGAACATTAGTATTGCATGAGTTAGGAATTGTAAATTTAACATTAAACCTGGTAAAAATCAGTTGAACCTATGTCCATTCCCCTTTTTGAAAAAGTAAGCAAAACATTGCCATTGTTTCATACTTATTGTAAAATCATCATTATCATTTACACACTGAATTGTAGACGAATGTTCCCATTATTACCGATCATGACAAGGAGTACACGATGTAAGGGGATTCTCACTCCTCCATGACACCTGATCCTAGCCCCTTAAGTTTCAAAGGTCCGGGATTTCCTTGAATACTGTTTGTTATCTCCATATGATATATATCATTCATAAAAATAAGGAAAAAAGTTCAATAAACATGTTATGAAATTTTTTACAATCTAAAAAATTAAGAACAGCAAATTTTTGTAGTTACAAGGAGCTCGTTATTACAATGCTTGATAAATTGGTACGTAAACATCATCCAATCTAGCTTTTATCTTATTTTCCATGTAGCCTTTTAATACTTAGATTAACTTGCTGTACTTTTGTTGAAACTGATACCTTCCACATCTTCTTATCGTGAATATAAAGAAGCAAATGACCATCAGTACTCCAAGACTGATGATTATCAATAATTCAAAGTTGAATTTGGAAGTCTTGATGAAACTTTTCACTGAAATAAAATGAATTTATATCAACTTTTGAAGTATTCAATCTATTGACTATATAAAAGACTAGAAAATTTTATTAGAATATAATTGTACTTACTCACCGTCACATTTCTTTCCTGTCCATTCAGATTTACAACCCTGTGTGCAATTACCATCTTTTGAATCACAGACATTATTTAAACAGTAAGGGCTACAGATTTTAGAGCATAATTCACCAAAGAAACCAGCACAACAAATACCACCGGCATCACTCTGATTTCTACACGTCGGTTGCTGACAATTTGAATTGTTCCTTTTTTCACATTTGAGGCCATGATAATGTTCCTTGCAGCCATTGACGCAGGTTCCGTCTTTCTGGTAACACAAATCTCCAAAACAGCCAGGACTACATTTTTCAAGACAGGAAATGCCGTATCGTCCATTTGTACAACCATTTATACACCCGCCTTTGTCATCACAAGATAATTTGGAGCAGAAAACAGAACAATAGTTTTCGCAATGTTTCCCCCATCGCCCACTAGGACAATACAAACAGGATCCATTAGACTGAGAACACGTGCTACCATAACAAAGATCCGGACATTTTCTTTCACAGTAAAGGCCCCATGCATTTGTTCTACAACCTTGGTTACATATGCCGGAAGTTTGATTGCAAGATGTGCTACAGAATTCAGGGCAGGTTTCTAAAAGGAAAAGAAAACCTCCGTTCTTGAACATTTTTCACGAAGTGAGACAAGTGTGTTTTACCCTGCTTTAATTTACAAAAGCAAAATTTATCTATAAATCTTTAACCGTGTTTAACCTATCAAATAAAATTTTCATATTATTTATTTGTATATAATTGAATCACATATTACTGTTATAATTGTACAAAAAATTCCAATAATATATATAAATTTTATTAATATGATGTCATCATTCAAAATAAATGTTTGATTATTACTCACGAAATGATCGTAATCCATATATAGCCAAAGTAATCATCAAAATTAAAACATGCAGAGAGACAGTCATTTTCACCGAATTTCCATTGATAATCGAAACCTAACTGTTAAGAATTTAGAACAATTATAGTTTGATATAAGATTAATGAATTAAAAGGAAACTATATACACGACTATGGTTTTTTCAGAAACGTATTTCACTGCTTCCTTGACAATTAAAGGATATGAAAGGGTTCAAAAATTAAAACGGACAGAATTGTTAATGATCATCCAAGATTAACATTATAATGTTTATATTTGCACTTGCATAAGATTTACTTCATTTTAATAAAATAAAGGAAGTATCCAAGAACATAGACCTTTTGTACACGATGTCTTTTTGACAAATTACAACATCATGTTTGGTTTTTGTTAAATTGTTTGCTGGTGAACGTCTCTCTCGAGAATTTTAGACTTTTGACAAATGGAAACGCCACCACTTGCCGGTGGAGAGCTGAAAAAATTTAACCTAAGTTTGGCACTCATGTGCATTTAGCAATGAAATTTTTTTCATGCTAGCATCATCTGCAGCACTGGACCTCGGTTAATACTGGAGTCAGCGTCACATTGCGATGACAGGATCACCTCCTAGCTCCGCGTTGTGTAGAACAGACGTTCTACCATGCCCCTATGCAGTCTATTATTTAAATCAGTTGGGTCTTCATCACATTCGAACCAAACTTTACTCTGTTCCATTGAAACTTTTAATTATTCTACTTGAAAATGTCAAAAAGTCTGTTTTTATTCCTCGACACCAGAATACAGGCTTGAATCTATGGTTATGGATTTTACAAATCATAGTCTTTTTAAACTGCCATGTTTTACAACAGAAATGTAACCGAAACAAGTTGGAGTCCTTTAAAAAGGACTGCAATGCGTAGACCATTATATATGCATGTGTTTCTAACTGAAATTCAATTAAAGTACAATTCTAGGTCTGCTGAATATTCATGCATATTCTTTCACATGTCTACAATGACCTGTCTACTTTGACTGATAGTGCTTTCATAGCAAAATTGTTAAACTTATATACATTTAACCTATAACGACTGGGACTTGACATCTGTTCTGGACTTATACGGAAGAAATATATCATTGGAAAATAGACTGATGGCATAGCTCTGTAGTACGCATTTTTCCCCAAAGATATGCCCCCTCCGCCGCATGGAAAACATTACTACATGCTTCTATCAAACAGTTTTTGGATTGCTGTATATCAAATATTATTGCGAGCCTTTGTGTACATGTTTATTTAATTAAATATGTCAGTTTGAATTCTGGTAGGATTATATGTAATTCCTCAGGAAAAATTAAAATCAATACTAAATGAAAGGAATAAATTATATTTAAAAAGTTACTTGACTGCTTAAAGTCAATCAGTGTAAGTGTAAAAGTTGTGGTATGCAAAAATAAAGTTACCACAAATAAAATTGCTTAGTGGAAAACTACAAATGTTGTATGTGCTCACGTTATTCGCAACTCTGGGGAATATGCGTATTGCATCATGACTGCAAATCAAAGCTGGGGCAAAATATGCGTATTTTTTAATGATGGAATCAATCCTTAACACTAAAATTGTGCTAAATCTATTTAAATGTATTTCCTGTTTTAAATCAATCGTTTATCTAGACAATGAATGGGGTTTTGCTGATGATTATCATACTTGCTAAAATTACTAGTTTGCGAAGTTAAAAAAGGTGCAGGTGTTGTTATCAAGGAATATAATGAAGAAAAGAGATAGTTTCAACCCAAACGAGTCAGATATGGATTTTAATGGGATATACTAACCTGCATCGTTTTTAATTCGCAACCAGAAAGAAAATTAAATTCCAGAATTTGGATTCCTGGAACATCGAGTGTAGAGGCCTTTGAGTTTGACTGGTAATAGGTAATAATTTAATAGTACGTACCTTCTACTAATCTTTTATTTATAAGAGTGATTAAACATGTGATTTTGAGCAAAGCAAGAGGTACTCTTGTTGTTCCTAAATGGCAATCTGTACCTTTTTGGCCTTTATTTGTAAAGCCATTTTCTGGAAATTTTCCTTGAAAATTTTGTTTAATAATGGCTTGAATATCATATTAGCCTGGAATTTTTTTCAGGAAAGGATCTCAAACAGAAGTGCTTGCTGAACAATAGTTACGCATAAGCACATTGAAGGGTAGTTGTATGGCATATAAGGAGTTGTACCATAGTTAGGTGTGATTTCTTTTGTTAAAAGTATGGGTTTTCTGTACATAACCCACACTTTTCTATAACTCCGCCCATCGAGTCAGGACAAAAGAATTACATGTATTAATAAAACGACCATGCACGGTTTTTAAATGAAATAATCATACAGGCTTTTTTAGGAGAGTAAATAGGAGCCTGTAAAAATGTCAGTTGTATACATCATTTAGTAAAAAATAACAGTTAAAAACGGCCATTAATACTTTAACTATAGTAAAAAAGTTAAGAAAAAAATTCAGAAATCGCTTGATTTGTTAATTTTTTTAATAGTGTAATGACCATGCAGGGTGACGTTAGCTTAGTAGCTACGCACCCTCGTGTCATTATGACCACGCCTATCGGGTATTTACACATAACCAACAGTATGATATGGGGTTACTACTACTTGGTCAGGCGTAAAGTGGTCATCGCTGAGCAATCAACCAGATTCGAAAACGTTTTTTTAAATTACTTTTATATGATATATAAATATGACTTGTTACATTGTATTTTGCAGATAGACTGTATTTGGAATTTTGGATATTTCTTGGGGTCTTCATCCAGTGCATCGCTACTTAAAGTCGCGTTTTTTTTTGTTCATAAATGCGACAAAACTGGTTGACAAGCGCTCAACACAATTTATATATATGCTCTGTTGTTTATTCTCTAAGATATTTAGCATTGAAATATTTTATGTTCGAATGAAACGAAGGAGAACATAATTATAGGTATAGGTGCTACTTCCTTTGCCTAGTTAGTATTGTTTCAATGGTATTTTGTGCTGAATACTCTTTGTGATCACCATATATCACTGAAAATATTCCTTAAATTCAGATAGTAATTAAACGAACTTGGTACGGATGTTTACTTCTAACTGACTTGTACCGATTTAATGCAGTTACAATATTGTTTGTCAAATATTTATCGGTATCGGTATATATGTATTTCACACCGTATTAGTTGTAATCAGACGCAGTATATCAGTGTATTTTTAAAAGCACTTTATCATAATGATTCCAAACAGGATTAAAAAGTCACTCGATCTCTCGAGATTTGCGCATGCACTTACTTATTTTCTGTATTTTAATCAATGACTTAAAAAATCATAATTTTTAAAGATCAATTTCAGTTAGATTATATTAAACTTGACGTAATAACAACGACACAAGTCTATATAGTGGATAATTTTTTCAACTGACGAATTTTGTAAGCTTCCTGACAAAAACGTTAACTTGTAAACTCTGAATGAATAAAATTTAAAGAACTTTATTCGGTAAAAACCAATATTTGCCCCCCTCCCCCAAATCAAACTTTGATGTAGGTATATTTAATTTAGTTCTTAAACAGGGGAATATATGCTGACTTCACAGCACTGAATATTTTCATAAGTTATGACGTCATATGTACGTTATGCTGTCACAAACATGACGTTACTTTATGTTTTTTATGAATTCTTCAGAAAAATGTACATATTTCGACGATATTTTGAGTAAAAGTCACCGAGCGCATGTGTGTTCAGGATCAATATTTTGATATAATGTGTAGAATGATTATATCAACGAAATATGTAAATATTGTTCCTGAACAAACTTGCGCTCTATAAATTTTAAAGCTAAAATTGTTGAAATTTTGTCAGTTTTGTCCTCTTTCTGTAAAAGGATAATAAAATCGGACTAGTTTGTGGCGTCATAAAAACAAAAATTGTGAATAAACTGCTTTGTAACTAAAATATGTTCTGTCAATTTATAGCTCTCATACAATTTATTAAATTCAGCACATTTCAGGAAGTTTTCAAAATTTGACTTTTGTGGGGGCAAGTATATGCAATATACAGCATATAGTTCTTTATCACTGTTAATATACAAAGAGCTAGGGCAACTTTTGGACTTTACTGGCCCTTTAAAATTCGAGAACAATGCAATTGCATATAATGTAGAACATCACACTGTTGTTTTGATCTCCCGAGCTTTTGTTATCGGCCCAAGCCTGGATGGCTGATAGAAGTGACAAGATCAAAACAGTGATGTGATGTTGTTTAGATCGTATATCTAAAACTAAAGTTACTAACAGAACAACTATTAAGATATTTTTCGAACAAAGAGTTTTATATCATTTTGTCATTAAAGATGAAATGAGTTACCGGGGTATTTTGATTTCATTGATCCTGAAGATGTTGCCTTACGATGAATAATGATATAGAGAAAAGATTTGCCTGATATTTTCATTAAAAGAATAACTGGTGTTTTGGAAAATTTCATTTCGAAACACATTGAATGACAAAAATTTAAAAGCTCCAATACTTAAAAATATTCTACTTTTACTTTGAATAGAACTTGGACTGCAACTTCTTCAACCTATCGTTACAACTTGCATGTCTCATATTTATAGTGACTGTTTGTTTTGTTACGATATAAATTAAATAAAAAATAACACATTAAATATAAACTTTTTACTGTCATACTGTGAAATCACTAATTTTCGTGGGGGTTTCATACGAGTAAAGAAAGACATTTTTGTTGTCAAATTTGTCAAGATATATCTTTGTTATTGTAAGCAATACTATAGTTCTCCAAAAACAATTTTAACTTGTGAAATAGCAAGTCTTATGAATTTATTGTTTTGTTTATATATAGTGAGAAAGTATAATATTTTATTCCACTCAAAAAGTTGTGTTCTGGCACGAACATTTTTTGCATGTTAATGAAGTTGTATTACTTAAAAAAAATTCTGTTTTGCTTTCAAGCTAGGTTACCTCATTTTGTATCACAAAGGTTTAAGACAAACTGTACTATATTATGTTGTTCATGTCCAATTATCTGGCTGCTTCT